AGGTTACCAACTCTAACATGATAATAAATAGGACATCCAAATACTTTTAAATTTGAATAATCACTACGTTTACTCGACCGCATCTCATTTAGAGTCTTACAATCAATGATAGTAGAGGAAGAATGGTTGACAAGATAACAAGTTATGTTAATCGCTTCGTCTAGAAATCCTTCTCCAAACCCGAATTATAGAGCATACATCTAGCTTTCTCCATCAAAGTCTTGTTTATACGCTCTCGCCACCCTATTTTACGGAGGAGTGTGTCTAATTATGTGATGGCAGACAATCCCAAAGTTTGTAGAAAATTCATTAAAATTTTCACCATAGAATTCAAAGCCATTATCTCGTTTAAAGACTTTAACCTTCTTTCCTATTTGATTCTCTACTAGAACTTTTCATTGTTTGAAGGTTTTGAAAACATCACTCTTATGTTTGAGAAAATAGACTTACACCTATCTAGAGTAATCATTAATAAATATCAAATAATAAAAAGCACCACCTTTGGATGGAACCCGAGCTGGTCCCCATAAATCTGAATGAATGTAATTAAGTGTGCCTTTTGGAGAATGAGTGTCAATAGAAAACTATACTTTAGTTTGCTTTCCTAAGACACAATGCTTACAAAAATCAAGTGATGTCATTTGATCACCATAAAGCAAATCATGTTTATTCATAGTAGTTATACCTCTCTCACTCTTATGGCTTAGACTCATATGCCACAATTGAGTCCTTTCCTTTTCAAAGTAGGAAGTAATTACCTCTGTAGAATCCGTTACTATACTACCTTGTAACATATAGAGATGATTAATTTGAGTTACTTTCATCACAACTAAGGAACCCTCGTAAACCTCAAGAATTCCACTTTTACTAGAGTAACAAATCCGGATAACTTGAAGAAATTAAATTCTTCTTCAAATCTAATATGTATCTCACTTCGTTAAAGTCCTCACAAGCAAATCATGACATTTGATACGAATTATACTAATACTAGTCATCTCATAAGATGAATTGTTGTCCATCGTAACGCAGCCACCACTTATAGGTTCATAAGTGGTAAACCACTCTTTATTTGGACACATATGATAAGAAGCACCAGTATTCAAGATCCATTCTTGATTAGAACAGACCATCTAGAGGACATATAACAAGAACACTTTCAGCGAAGCATCAACATCAATAGCCGTCACCACATTAACGGACTCAAAATTTTGACCCTATGGTTTCTTCTTTTTCTTAGAGCAAGATAATCTAATTTATAATATCCTTTCTTATGACACTAGTAGCACTCGACATTGTTTTTTTTTTACTCGGGAGTGATCTAGACTTAGAACGAAATTTGAGTCTTCCTTTATAACCCTCTTTATCCTTCTATTTCTACTTATTAGTAAACCATTAGCCTTATTATCAATGGTTTTACCATTCAGCTTATGTCTCAGCTCAAGCAAAATTCAAAGAGGCCTTAACATCCTCTAAAGTTATGGATTATTTGCCATACAACATTGAATTAACAAAAGTCTCATACAAAGCATGTAATGAACACAATACAATAAGTGCTTGATCGTCTTCATCAAGTTTAATATCAAGATTTTTTATATCCATAACAGTCTTATTGAATTCATCAAGGTGTTCATGAATAGACGTACCTTCTCGCATCTTTAGTATATAAAGACGATGCTTGAAATACAATCTTATTGTAAGAGATTTCTTCATATAGAGGCTTTTCAGTTTCTTCCATAGTCTCGCTGTCGTCTCTTCATCCGCGACTTCTCATAGTACCTTCTCCGACAATGATAATTATAGAGCACTTTGAGCCTCCTCATGCATACCTTCAATTTCGATAGAAGTCATGTCATTTGGGTATATACCCTTAATTGCCTTGACAAAACCTTTACGTCGCAATAAAGCTTTCATCTTTATTCTCCATAAGCCAAATTATTTTGACCATCAAAAGGTGAAACTTCAAATTTTAGAGCTCGCCATTATGAATAGAAAAACTCAAAGATGCACAATCTACGTGCTAATACCGGTTTGCTATGACAAACAACGTAAATAAGACAAGTAATGACAAATAATAATCAAAAGATAAAGTTAAACAAATTATCAACACACAAGTATTTATGTGGTTCGAAAAATTGCCTATTGCACTCGACGAGAGGGAAATTTTATTAATTTGATAGTAGGAGAATACAAGAACGATGGAGACTTAATACAAAGTCTCCGTCTTTCACTCTATTCCCTAAAATAGAGATATAAGAAGGTTTAAATACCTTATACCTATAAAGGAAAACGCCTAATGGGCTAAATATATTATTGGCCCACAAAATTCAAGCCATACACAAAACGGACCTTTTCTCTAAAACATTTATGAAATTTTAGAAGGAAATACAAGGAATTTGAACCAATTCTAAATCCATGAACAAGTCTTTAAAATGACCTACACATGGAATAAATAGAAATATGCATACTTCTCTATCAGCTTAAGCATGTTGCTTGTAATTTCGTATGCAACCCTACAAAATAGTTGAAAAAGGTTTAATAGTAAGACCAATGACTTGATATTCTGACTAAAATAATCTTTGACGAAGACAACCGGAGACTATAGTTATCCAGCCAATTTAAAACGGCAACAAGACAGCATTTGTTTGCTTATTTCCAGGGCCACATCAGACAAATACATAGAGGTAATAAGGTCTGATGGTAACTCAATGAGAAAAGAATTTATCAGGTCAGCATATCGACATCTACCAATGTAAAATGTTTTAGGTATTGTGCACAAATCTGCCTCAGAAAAGAGTGTGAAAAGAGAATGCATGATAAGAAAGTTACTTTATGGGGTTCAGTCATTTTCATGGGAAATGCATACTGGTTTTATGAAACTAAGTACAGCCAGGATCTAACCTCTATATAAACGTTTTAAAATAAACATAAAAGATGTGAAGAGCAAAAAATATCAATCTGGAAATTTCTTCTGCAAATCAAATGTAAATGGCCACTTGCAGACATTTTTTTTTCTGTTTTGTTGTGGTCAATTCTGTGTTAAATTTACTTGCATTAGAATCAAAAGCAAATCTCAAGCCACTAAAGAATATCTGTATTCTCTATTTGTAAATCACAAAAAAATCACAAGTTTGTCCTTATACTACAATGTTGAAAAAAGCAAGCATGCATACATAGTGAAGGCATTGTTGAAGCTTCCTTAATATATCCTCTTGAAGTCCTTTCCAAGCATCAGAATGCTATCCTTGCTTGCATCTTAAAAAAGACGAGTATGCACATTTTCCTTGCATTCTAATCATTTTAGGCCTCTCATAAGCAACTTGGAAAGGTGAAACTTGTACTTAGGGTTCACCTCAGACCTGGATTTCAGTGTAATCCTGCAATGAAGAATTTATAGCCTGTGCATTGTCCTGGACTATTAGGCTTCTGCTACCTTAAGGAAAAATGAAGGAGAAAATCAAAGACTAACAAGTCTGCAATCCTTTCTAACCAATATGACAGGCATCTATGTTCATTATTTTGGATCCTGAACTCAAGATGGATTTCGGTGTAATCCTGCAAAGAAATATGTGCTGCCTCTCCGTTATCCTGGACTATTAGGCTTCTGCAACCCCAAGGGAAAGCGAAAGAGTAAAATAGACTAACATGCCCGCAAACCATTCCAACCAATATAAAAGTCATCTATGTTCATTATTTTGGATCCTGAAGTCCAGAATCTAATGGTAGACATACTCCAAATGAAATATAACTGTTAATGCATATATATATCCATTCTTCTTTCCAGCACTTTGCAGGACGAAAGGAGGTAATACATCACAACAGTGCTGCCTCAGAGCCGGAAGCTGAAAATTAAAAAGTTTAAACAAACTGCTAATTATTTGTCATTCATAAAATGCAACTGAATGAAGAATGAAACAAAGAAAGTATTTTTTCCAGCAACTTGTGATATGAACTGAATTAAGCATGCCCACAAGCTAATAAGCAATACATGTTTCACTGATTCTGAGAATGTTCTTTAATATCTTCTGGTTTCCTTGTTGAAGCCATACAGTAAGAACAATTTGCAAATCTTATCTTATAAAGGCTCGAAATTCATTCCATGCCAGAAGACCATGATCAAGAAAAAAAAAATTCTCGGTCTTCTGTGTAGGCCAGGATGAGGTTCCCTTGTGTTAAATCTATACACCCCAGCTAAAAAATTTCCCTTTTTTCCACTGCTTGAAGGCCCTTTCACTGGGAGAATATCAGGCAAAAATGCATGATTCCCACATACCTCAACCGCATAGCCTCATGACGCAGATAAAGTCCACCCTAACCAACGTTCATAGCTAACTGTTTTTTTCTAAAGAAGTCTCTGGGGAAAAAAAAATCACACCTTCAAAGAAATGCTCTATCGTATTCATGGTTGTCCTGTTAGGGAAGATGGGGTCTAGGTGATCCAAACTATACAGAGATACCAATGGTGCCAATGGATGTGAAGTCAACAAGGCAAACAAATCGCCCCAAATATCAACCTCGAAATTTGGCATATACCAGTAAAGTATTTCAGAATAGGCACTTAGAACTAGTTACAATGGATTGAGAAAGTAGGAAAAAAAGATATTCTGGTTATATGAATTGATAAGTTGACCAATATCATGCTGAGCTCTGCTAAGCAAGTAAGAAAAGTTGGCTGAAAGGAATGGTAAAAGCAAGATTTTAATGTCTACGGATTACTAATAACATCTTATTAATCTTAATCAAGCCCTGGTGGTAATAGATAAGGTTTTGGAAAATACAGCTTCTGTTATAGCAAATACAATTTATCTATAGAAATATTAAAAATGCTCTTTACATCTTGCTTAAATTTCCAGTAAAACAAAAAATTTTACCATCTAAACTTCACCTCATAAGACCACGAATTCTCTATTTTTGGCTGGTAACTAGCAGAAACATACTTCTGTGCCGGTCATGCCAAACCCAATTGGTGAACTAGCAACGTCTACATATAGCAATTCACATCGCTAGCGAGGATCTAATTGAGTGATGGAAATCTCATTTATAGATCGTTGTGATAACTCCAGCAACTGAGATGAACCAGACTCTTCTGTTCCTGAATCTGATCCAGAACTTGCGCTTGACACAAAAAAAGCCGGCCGTGATGGCGTGGGAGGCATCAGAGTGTAACCACTGACCATCATGACAATCTGTGACATTGTAGGTCGGTCGGCAACAGCATCTTGAACACATAATAACCCTATGTGGATGCACTTCAAAACTTCATTTTCTGGCCATTGGCCACCTAATGTAGGATCTACGAATTCTAAAGCTGTTCCATTAGTCCAGTGTTGCCATGCCTGGAACAAATTTAAGAATTCAAGTTAGGCCCAATAATGGTAGCCAGATATTTCGTACACAAGAGAGAACATTTCACCAGCATACTTACATAGCTTTGAAGATTTATTGAATTGTGGAAACTAGAGAACTTTTGACCTGTGATAATCTCCAAAACCAAAATACCGAAACTGTAGACATCGGATTTAGTTGAAAAGTGCCCTTTTTTAGCATACTCCGGTGCCATGTAACCACTTTCATTTCAATAAAGCAATAAATAGAATGTAAGTCTTCTATTATAACAGTTAAGTCACATATTATAGAAGTTTTCATCAGAAAGTTAATGCAACAGAACTCGGAAGCTCAACACTTACAAAGTCCCAGCAATTCGATTGGTATTGCCTTGAGTTTGACTTCCCGAAAAAAGCCTGGCCAGCCCAAAATCAGAGATTTTAGGTTGCATGGACTCATCTAACAGGATATTACTAGCTTTCAAGTCTCGATGAATAATCCTGAGCTGTGAATCTTCGTGCAAGTAAAGTAGTCCTCGTGCAATTCCAATGATGATTTTGTACCGTCTCTCCCAATCCAGACTAAACCGTTTGTTTCGATCTACCTCGTCCAAAATTGAAATCATCATCAGCATAGACAATTTTGAGAAATCAAGTTCTGCTGTTTAGATAGTTCTCGGATGAAATGTTAATGAAATTTTTGACAAATCAAGTTTTGTTTAGATAGTTAAATGGTTCAACATACTGTGTAAATCCAATCAAGCACAAGAAATGATGAGGAAAATGATCTTTGAAGAAAAGAAATCCAATTTTGGATGGAGTTATCTGAAGTTATATTACTGTTCAGTGGAAGCATTTTTACTAATTTGCTTTGCATTGATGTTTAAGTTTGATAACATAGACTGGACCAATAACAATATAAGTTGGTAAAGATCAAATACCAAATAGGACTTTGTCCAAGCTCCCATTAGGCAGGTACTCATAAACAAGTAGTTTCTCCTCTTCTTCTAAGCAGAAACCCAACAGCCATACCAGGTTCCGATGTAGCAGTTTAGCAACCAACATTACTTCTGTTTTGAGCTCTTCTAAACCCTGTCCTGAGTTGCTTGAAAGCCTTTTTACAGCTATTTCTCGTCCGTTTCGTAGTTTTCCCTGAAAGTTTTGCCAACAGTATCATTCAGTTTAATGTAAGTAAATGTTTAGCATACATCAAATGTACTGAAGAAAGCATACCTTGTAAACTGGACCAAAGCCACCTTGTCCAAGCTTATATTCATCACAGAAATTTCCAGTTGCTTCCCTAAGTGTATTTAGTCCAATGGAAAGTGAATCTATGGTAGTATAACCTTCTTCATTAACACCAGCTGATTGACAAATAGATAAACATAACAAATTATTCAGAATGCATAATATTTCCAATTTCCTATGCGGGGCGTCAAATTTGAAATTCTAAGACTATCATGCTAACAGGTTTGTTAATCTTCTATCGTGTCTTCATTTGTGGCACAACCGCTATACATAACACTTGGTTATCATTGCAGTGCATGTAAAAGGTTTTGAAACTCACAGCTAATTACTTGTTCATCATTGGGTCTAGAATTGTGAACTAAGTACCCAACTCTCTTTGTCTTGCCTTTTTTCCAAAATAAGCAACCACAAACAATGGCCATCATCACTGCGAATGTAACAGTTACTGATATGACAATAGTGATAACAGTTTTGAAACTTTTTCCTGCAGGAACAGGTATATTTATAACATAATCAGTTCCTATTCCCTTGACAAACTTTTCTGCACATCCATAACATAAATCTTATTAAATTGCTTCAACATTGCTACTTCGAACATGGTTATAGAACAAAGTGATGTAAAGTTCATATAAGATCAAGTCCATAAAATTACCATCATTGCTAACTGAATCTTTTGTTGCAGTTGCAGGAGAAGGAGGTGGTGGTGGAGTACGTGGTAGAGGAGGTGGTGGCAGTGATGACAATGAAAAGAATGAATATGTCTCATAGCGAATGTTGCAGCTGAGAGCATATGCCCGAGCCCCGACATTTTTACTGGAACGCTGTGAAATAAAGCCGATAATACTTTCAAGACAGCGAAAACATTCATTTACTGTTAATTTTCTAGTGCACTGAGCCATTGCATATATATCAATCAAACTTGTGTAACTTGTCCTCCCAACTGCTAATCTGTAAGGATCAGCTGCAGCGTTAACTGAGATGTTCCCAAGCAAACTTTCTAATTTACTGTTGAAAAGACCCGAATCATCTGCAGTCTCCGTGTTAATAAAAAGAAGTCGTGGAACAATGTCAGCAACTGAGAAAAATTGCGAGTCTGAGTACTGTAGTGAACAATTCTCGTTACATACAGAAGCTGCCTTCTGGTTAGGACACAGTTGGATGATCCTTGTAGCTACAGAAATTGCACAGCTTTGGCAAACTTCCTTGGAGACAAAAGCTACACAGTTTAGGAGTCCATAAACCAGATTGAGGTTCTGCCCCACAGTAGAGATAAAGTAGCCTGTTAGAGAATCATTTGCAGCTAAAAAAGTGAGGGTAAGGTTTAGGTTCTGCTGATAGGCACTCCCAGAAGTGTAATTCACGGAATTATCACAGTTTGTAAATTCTTGGCCTTTAGAAAGGTATAAAAAAGGAAGAAGACATAAAATCAAGAATAAATACATAGCGTTTAGAACAAGAAATTGCATAGCTGTAGCTTGGTGAAGAAAGGGGGCTGCAGAGGAAGAATGAGTGACAAATGTTACTGCTTTGTCATGAACTTATCGACTTAAACCAGCCAGTTTGACCTTTTCTCTACAGATATATGAAATTTCAGAAGGAAATCACTAAGAAAATTACGCGGTCTAGATAGTGTGAAATGGTTGAATTCGATCAATAAAGTCCAAGCTTATAAAAGAACAGTGAGCTAGCTTATTTTTATTAAATTTCTTCCTGTCTTCGTCACACCAATCCTCTTTTAAGTGAAATGCATATAGATACAAACATAAAATCCAAGAACTTTGACCCAGTTCTAAATCTAAAAACTACTCTTTAAAATCACCTGCTCATAGAATAATTAGAAATATGACTACTTCTCTATCAGCTTAAGCCTATTCCCTGTAATTTTCATCTGCAACTATATAAAATAGTAATAGTAGTTTTATAGTCAGACCAGTGACTTGGTATTCTCATTAAAACATAAATTTGATGAAGACAACCTGAGACTACGGTTATGACGGCCAATTTAACGAGGCAATCAGACCACACTTGTTTGCTTATTACAATGTCACATCTGATGAAGAGATAAAGGTAATGTGGTCTGATGGTGACTCCATGAGTAAAGAATTTATGAGGTCAGCATATCAACATCAACATCAGTAAAATGTTTCAGGTGTGAGGATCATCAACGTTCCATGAGACTTCATGTCTGATTCAGGAGGAATTTTTAGCTATGAAATTACTAATTAATATCATACAGCCCAGACTAAATGGAAATGAGTTTCAGTAAATGTAGCAAGCCAAAAATATGCAGATTCCAAACACTCACCAGCTTTTGATATGTAGAGTCAAATATCCTTTTTGCCATACAGTACCAGTTCCAATTGGGCAATTGTTACGGCTTCTGGTAAAACCATGGAAGGCAGAGGAATGCAAGCAGAGGAGTGCAAGCAATAAAGCTTAATAGGCTGAGGTGGCAATTGGTTATAACAAATTGCTGACTTGGCAGTGGGTTATAACAAATTAGCTGAGGTGGCACTAATTAGTTAGGCTATTAGTCATCAGTTAGTATTAATATCATGTAATGGCTAGCCGAGAAAGGCATTCAAGGAAAAACACAAGAAAATCATTTCGGAACTCTCTCTTTTGTGTCTCTCTTCTTCTTCTTTCTCTCCCCAAACACTTCTTCTTCTTCAACTCGGCTTTGTTAAGCAAAGTGCTTAACAAATTGGTATCGAGCCTTCTCCAGGAATCAATCATGGTGAATAACAGCGAGCTTAGAGCTTTGGAGGAGCACAATCGAAGGCGGGAGGAACAATTGCGGGGATTTCAAGAAGGTGTGGAAGAATTAAAGAAGCGGATGCAGGAACAAAATCAACGGACTCGGCTTCAATTGGAAGCTCTCATGAAGACAATCCAGGTATTGACGACCGAGAAGGAGTTCGAGAAGGAGCATCGATCATCTTCTAATTCCTCGCATGGTGGAAATGCAACTACGAGACCCACACAGCAAGGTAACAATGGTGAGTCCTTGTTAACCCCCGACTTTAGGAAAACTGGCTATGGTTCTTCAATACCTAAAGTCGAATTGCGGTGGTTTGGTGGTGAAAACCCTAGGGGATGGGTTCGTAAATGTAGGAAATATTTCAAGATGAACTTTATTCCCGTTCACCAGTGGGTAGAGGTTGCTTCCATGTATTTGGAAGGCGAGCTGAAATCCGATTTGAAGGCTTTGTGGTTAGACATAATTTGGGTAATTGGAAGAGTTTGTGGGAGAAATTTACAGGAGATTTGGTAGTAGGGAAGATGTGGTTGAAAAATTTAATAAATTCACCCAAGATAGAGTTGTAGAAAGGTACGTTGAGAAATTTGAGGAGCTCAAATCTCCGATGTCCGCAAGTAACCCTCACCTCCCCGAGTCTTACTTTGTGTCCAGCTTTATTAGTGGACTCAAGGAAGAGATTAAACCCATGCTTAAAATCCTACAGCCCCCTACCTTAATACAAGCCTTTGAACAAGGCTAAGTGGCGGGAGGAGTCCGTCACTCGCCTTGTCCATAAAGAACAAAGTGCTTCCAAGAACCACTTACCCTTATAACATCACCGGAACTTCCTCAAACCACTACCAATCCTATAATACCACTAGACCATCACACAGCCAGTTCCATAAGCCCACCGTGACCTTCACCAAGCCGGAAAACACCAGCTTCCATAAACCTACAAACACCATACCACCAAGACCTCGACTGAAACCTTACATGATCGTAGACGAAGAATGGGGCTCTGCTTCGGTGTGGAGATAAGTATACTCCGGGCCACCAATGTGTTAAGAAAGCATTGAATGTGATGGAGGGAATGGAAGGAGATGGTGATGAGTTTGTGGATGTTGAGGTAGGAATGGATGCGAGAGAAGGGTTAGTGGAAGAAGGACTCGAATGAGGAAACAGGATTGTCCTTACATGCATTGGCGAGGAGATATGCAAACAACACAATCAAGATTAGAGGGTGTTGTAGGCAAAAGGAAATTATCATTTTGATTGACGAGTGGGAGTACCCATAGTTTCATTAGTATGAAGGTAGTACGGGAAGTAGGAGCTATGAAGGAAGAAACCACCACTCGTCGATAATAGTAGCCAATGGGGCTAGCATGAGATGTTCAGCTAGGAGCCCGAGTTTAGTTTGGTTTATACGAGGGCATGAATTTATGGCCGACTTGAGGATCTTGGAATTGGGGGTTGTGATATGGTATTAGGAGTGGATCGGCTAAAGATGTATTCATCGGTCTTGTTTGACTTCATCAACATGAAGTCTGTCTTTTAAGAAGGGTGGCGGAATGATTAAGTTAAAGGGAGTGACGGAGGAGGCTCAATTGCAAATGATCACGAGTGAACAAAGTCTATAAATCCTTGAAGACAACGGTGTGTGGAGCAATTGGCCGGGTTTTTTCGTTATGGCTCAAGGGGATTCCGAGGTGGTGGACAACAAGGAGATAAGAGCCTTATTATTGAGATATGAGGAGGTGTTTGCTCGAACCAAAAAATTTGCCACCTAGGAGGGGATTTGACCACCGAATCCCTCTTACACCAAGCAACGAAACCGATCAATATCGGACCTTACGAAGCTCATTTGCGCATAAGGAGGAGATCGAGAAGTTAGTTAAGGAGATGTTACACAATGGGATCATTCAGCCCATATTGTAGTCCCTTTGCATCCCCAAGTACTACTAGTAAAGAAAAAAGATGGAACATGGAGGTTTTGTGTGGACTATCGATAGCCGAACAACATCACCATCAAGAACAAATTCCCAATACCTTTGATTGATGATCCGCTAGATGAGTTGCGGGGTTCAGCATTCTTTTCTAAGATCGATCCGCGATCGGGATACCATCGAGTCGGGATGCACGAGGCGGACATGAGAAGACCGCCTTCGGGACATACCAGGGGCACTCGTGAATTCAAAGTCATGCCCTTCGGACCGACTAATGCCCCAGCTACATTTCGAGCCATGATGAACTCGATTCTAGAACCATATTTGAGGAAGTTTGTTCTTGTCTTCTTTGATGATATTCCGATATACGACCCAACATTGGAACTACATATCCAACATTTGGCTAGAGTGTTGGAAGTATTATTGAGGAACAAATTGTATGCTAAGAAGTCTAAGTGCACGTTCGCCGGATGCAAGTAGAATACTTGGGGCATATTATTTCAGGAGCGAGGGTAGCTACCGACCCAACGAAGACGAAGCCGTGAGCGGATGGCCGGTTCCAAAGTCGATCGTGGAACTAAGGGGTTTCTTGGGGTTAGTCGGCTATTATAGAAAGTTTATTCGTCATTATGGACCGATCGGTAAACCATTGACGGACCTCTTGAAAAAGAATAGCTTCCAAGTGGAATGAGCATGCTCGTGAAGCCTTTGACCAATCGAAGGCCGGATTATGCACATCACCGATACTAGCCTTGCCCAACTTTCATAAACCTTTTGTTTTGGAGACCGATGCTTGTGGCGGTGGTGTAGGAGCGAGTGTTAACTCAAAAGGGCGGACCCTTAGCATTCTTTAGCAAGGCGTTATGTCCTAAGCACCAAGGGTTATCAATTTATGAGCGGGAGTACCTAGCCATTCTCATGGCAAGTGGATAAATGGAGACACTACTTGGAGATGGATAAGTTCACTATTAAGACCGATCATGAAAGCCTAAAGTACCTCCTAGAACGGAAGATCAATACTCCTATTCGGAGAAAAGGGCTAACTAAGTTGTTGGGGTCGCGGTTTGACATTCAATATAGGAAGGGAAAAAGAACACGATAGGCCGACGCCCTATCTCGTAGAGCTCCTAACACTCGTTGGTGTGAATAACATGGCTCTTGGGACACACTTGTATGCAATCACTACCTTGGTTCCTACTTGGTACCGGGATATCATAGCATCTTATCAACAAGATGCTAAGGCACAAGAGGTCATCTCGACTAAGGAGGTTCATGCTAGTGCTTTCCCTCGCTTTTCTTACAATGAAGGAATACCGAGGAATAAGCATAGGGTTTATATTGGGAATGATCGGGAGTTGAGAGTGCAACTAGTGAAGGTCGCTCATCGATCTGTTGTTGATGGACACGCGAGTGTTCAAAATACCTATAGGAGGCTTAAGCAAGCCTTCTACCGGCCACGTATGAAGGTATTGGTTAAAGCACAAGTTGATGGTTGTGATACATGTATGAGGGCGAAGTCGAAAGGGTAGCTTACCTGTGGTTACTACGAGCCTTTGCCAATTCCAGCAGGAGCATGGAGGGATATCTCTATGGATTTCATAGAGGGTTTGCCTAAATCGAAGGTAAAGACACTATTTTAGTGGTGGTTGACGGAGTTCACAAAGTATGGTCACTTCCTTGCTCTCTCTCATCCTTTCACAAAGAAAGGGATATGGCTAAGACATTCATGGAGCATATTTACAAGTTACATGGTGTACCGGCGTCCATTGTTACGGACGAGAGATAAAATCTTCACTAGTGTGTTTTGGAAGGAGCTCTTTAAGTCCCTAGGGGTCCAACTTTGCATGAGTTCAGCTTACCATCCCCAATCCGATGGCCAAACGGAAAGGTTGAACCAATGCTTAGAAACATACTTAAGATGCATGTGTATGGATTGTCCATGCCATTGGTATAAGTAGTTGCATCCGGCACGGTGGTGGTACAATTCTAGCTTTCATTCAGCCATTCGGATGACTCCATTTCGAGCTTTGAATGGTTATCCGCCACCCCATAGGGAACTCATTTTACATGGGACCTCTACTCGCGGCTACCGTGAAGGAAATGGTATGGGATAGAAGAGCTATGGACCTTTTCCTTGGAGCACAATTGACTAAGGCACAACATAGAATGAAACAAATTGCGGACTGGAAGAGGACCGAGAGGAGCTTCGAAGTAGGGGACAAGGTTTATCTTAAGCTTCAACCTTACGGACAAATCAATGTGGCCATGAGGAAGAAATTCAAGCTCAATCCTAGGTATTTTGGGCCTTATATCATTTTGCGAAGGTAGGACAAGTTGCTTACAAATTGGACTTGCCAACTACTCGCCCTCATCCATCCAAGTTTTCCATGTTTCCCTTCTTAAACGGAAAGTAGGCACCAATGCAATGGTGGCCACTAAGCTACCACCCACGATGGAAGAAGGACGAATTAAACTAGTTCCCGCTCGCCGTGTTGGATCGCAAACTTATGAAATGTAATAACCAAGCAAGTGGTTATGGGGTTAATTCGATGGGAAGGACCGACGGTGGATGATGCCACTTGGGAGGTGTCGGAGGATATGGAGCATCAATTCCCGGAGTTTTGCTTCGATCCTCGAGGACAAGGATCTTCCGGAGAGGGGGTATTGTTATGGCTTCGGTAAAACCATGGAAGGCAGAGGAATGCGAGCAGAGGAGTGCGAGCAATAAAGCTTAATAGGCCGAGGTGGCAGTTGGTTATAACAAATTGCCGACTTGGCGATGGGTTATAACAAATTAGCCGAGGTGGCACTAATTAGTTAGGTCGTTAGTCATCGGTTAGTATTAATATCATGTAACGGCTAGTCGAGAAAGGCATTCAAGGAAAAACACAAGAAAATCATTTCGGAACTCTCTCTTTTGTCTCTCTCTTCTTCTTTCTCTCCCCAAACACTTCTTCTTCTTCAACTCGGCTTTGTTAAGCAAAGTGCTTAACAGACAATTTCCATCTGCACTGGGCTATTCCAGAGTGAATTTTCAAGAAGAGGGCAAAAGAAAAAAGAGGAAGTCAACATACAAGGGTTCACCAGTTCAAAAAAGACATACAAGGAATCACAAAATCAACGGAACTATCGGATACATGCATTAATGACATAGCAAAAAGCCTCTTTGAAACCATTATGTTCAACAAGGAATAATGACAAAGAAATTCCAAATATTCATTTCATAAATGAATCCAACTAGTTTTTCTTCTAGTATTATTTTCATGTCCGAAAATCAGCATCATGAAGCAAGGCTCAAGTCTTCTTTCTTTCTTTCTTTCTTTCTTTCTTTTTTTTTTTTTTTTTTGATGTGAGGAAAAAAACTTAGTTTCCTAGTTAGATGTTTTCTTCGGATCAACGTTCATCTTTAAATGGAGAGAGATATTTGTCCGCCTCGACGGACAGTGTGAAAAGAAAGAAAAGATGACATGTGAAAACATTGACAAAAGCTTGTCATGTGTTCCATTTGATCTAGATCGGGACTTGAGGATTGACCTTTCGAACACTTAGAATCGGGGATAATATGATTCTCATTAGGAGCATGTAAATGTGAATCGGATGAAGAATGCTTGTAAAAGATTCCATGGTAACACATCCCATTCTAGTATGGTTGGCTAAGTGTGGTGTTTGTAAAAAGAAAGAGAGGAGTTTTATAGTAGGAACTTGAAACCCATTTTGGGGTTGTCTTGAATTCTCAAAACTTCGTCACTCCATCCCCGCAGGGCCGCAGAACCCGTCGTTGTCTCGGTTGTGCCACCGGATATAAATACAATTTATCTCGGATCGGATGGTCAAGATTAATATCACAAAAATGGAAAAATAGAATGAATCAACTGCATATGATTCAAAATAAAGATTTAAACAAATGGAATTTAAGATTAATTCTTTCTCCACCTTATGATCTGAAAGTTACTTTATGGAGTTCAGTCCTTTTTATGGGAAATGCAAATTGGTTTTAAGAAACTTTGGAAGGATCTAGCCGGTTTTCTGAAACATCTGAGGACATAATATGAAAAAGCTGTGAACAACGAAATATCAATCTGGAACTTTATTCTCCAAATCAATTGTAAATTACCACTTGCAGACTTTTTTTTCATCCGTTTTTTTGAGGTCAATTCTGTTTTAAATTTACTTGCATTACAATCAAAAGTACATCTCGCGGCACTAAAGAATTATCTGTATTATCTATTTGTGAATCACGAGTTAGTTCATATGCTACAATATTAAAAAGCAAGTATGCGTACAGAGTGAAGAAGTGTTGAAGCTTCCTTGTATATTCTCATGAAGTTCTTTCTAAGCATCAGAATATGATACTTCCACCAGGAATAGCCGAATTTGCGTGTTTTCCTTGCATTCAAACCACATTAAGTCTCCAGAAGCAATTAGGAAGCCGAATTTGCGTGTTTTCCTGCAATGAAAATTTGCAGCCTGTGCATTGTCCTGGAGTATTAAGCTTCTGCTATCTCAAGGGAAGACAAAAGGAAAAAGAAAAGAAAAAAATAGACTAGCAAGTCCCCAATCGTTTCAAACCAACATGACAAACATCTATGTTCATTATTTTGGATCCTGAAGTCAAGAAGCTACCTGAAATGATAGCCGTACAGAAAATGCAACTTAACTATCAATGCATATATATCCGTTCTTCTTCTTGGCATTCTCTAATTGCAATTTCCATCACTTGTCCGGAAAAAGGAGGTAAAACATCACAACAGTGCCTCCTCGGAGCCCGAAGCTGAAAAAAGATGAAACAAACTGATTATTATTTGTCATCCTCAAGAAAATACAAGTGAATGGAAAACGAAATAAAGCAAGAATTTTTTCCCTCAACTTGTGATATGAACTGATTAAGCATATGCCCAGAAACTAATAAGCAATACCTCTTTATCACTGAGATCAAGCTTCTGAGAATACACTTTAATCTCTTCTAGTTTCCTTGGTGAAGCCTTGTCATATGAGCAATTTGCAAAACTCTTCTTATAAAGGCTCGTAATTCGATCCCGGCCAGTAGACACATGATCCAGAAAGAAAATTGTTGGCCTTCGGCATATGTCAGGATGAGGTTCTCTTGTGTTAAAAGTGTACACCCCAGCCAAACCATTTCCTCTTTTCCACTGCCTGAATGTTCCTTGCACTGGGAGAATATCGGGTAAAAATACATGATTCCCATATACCTCGACAGCATAGCCCCATGACACAGAAATAGTCCACCCAAACCAACGATCATAGCAAACTGTTTTCTGCAGAACTCTCTGGGAATCAATATTTACAGCTTTAAAGAAATGCTCTATTGAATTCATAGTTGTCATGTTAGGAAAGATGGGGTCTAGGTGATCCAAATGATGCAGAGATACCAACGGTGCCAATGGGTGTGAAGTCAACAAGCCAAACGAATCGCCCCGAATATCAATCTGGAAATTTTGCATATGCCAGTAAAATATTTCAGAGTAGGCACTTAGAATTAAATAGTAACAATGCTGACAAAATATATATATAAAGTCATGAGTATAGATACCTGATGGAAACCAGGCTCACGAGTCAATCCCACGCCAAGCTCTGCTAAGCAAGAATAGATCCTGGAATCACTTCCATAGAGATGTGGATATCGTTCTATACAAGAATCGAAAATCTTTGCTAGAACTTTTGCAAGTGGATAACTTATGGCGAATCCTCCACCCCCAAAAGCCATTTCAAAGCCAAATTCTCTATTCTGCTCATAAATCTCCGAATTAGATCCTACGTAGTACCAAAGCTCGTGATCATACTTAGAAAGAGTTTTCACCAAATTCTCGGGAAAGAAGACCGTATCATCGTCCCCAAAAACAAACCACCGCACATCAGAATGATTGAGTGCCACAGTCTCAAAAACTACACGTGCCACACGAATTGCTGACCGAATACCATTTCGATAGGTGTAACGAAACCGAGAGGTGTCCTCAGAGATGCATACAGGAGGGAGAGCACTACTGTCATTGTAGGAACTTGGATCCTCTTCCATGCTCTCCAGGAACACACATCCTCGCATTTGGTCTGGTTTCCACCACAGCTTAACATATTCCTTTCTTTTCCGCCATGAGTTTTTGTTTGAAGCAATTCCAAATACAAAATGATCAAGAGTTGTTGGAGCATGCACATTTCTTGGAGATGAATTTATATGCACAAGCCTGGAAGTGCCTACCAGGAAGAGTGACACAAGAAGGCAGATGATGCAAGCAAAAAACGAGCCTATAACAAAGTTGATAAACCGAGGAGAGTGGGATTTGGCAGGCAATAGCTTACGAAAATGCATTTGAAGGAGGTATGAAGAGAAACTGGATTAGATGGGATTCTTGATTCAGTTTCTTGAAAGTCTGTGTTATGAGAAGACGGTCAAGTTTTTGAATTGTATATATACCTAACATTCAGTGACTGAATCAAAAGCAAAAGCAAGTTATTTACTTTGACATTTCAAGTTAGTTATTTCCCCATAAGTTTTGTGTATGATAAATAAAGAAAGGGTTAGGTCTGAGTACGCAAAGAAATTATCCTTGTCTTTCTAATGGTGGGCTCCTTTGATTCAAGTCAAACACTTGATAACATTGAAATTTGACTCCATGGATGCATAAAAGGCATGCCAATGGCTTAATATATGGTGTGCAGAGAAAGGAAGCAACTTCATTTTGAAGTGTCCAATTGAGAGTTTAAAGGGTCACCATTGGCCAAACGTAAAGGTTTAAACATGGGGCAGGTAACATATTAAAGCCAAAAATATTGAAAAAGATCAGTCAAAATCTACCAAATCCACCGAGTTTCTTTTCTTGCAAAAGAAATCAATGCATGGATTTATATTGTTTAATAACAGATGCGCATGTGCCCCATAAAAAGGGTTCACGTTACCTAATTTGAAGTTTATTAAACAGTTTGATCATCAATGATAACATTAACAATGCTTGCTCTAAGATTAATTATTGTTTGTTGTGTCATGACATGTGCAATCCAATATTTAATAGGCCCTGTAGCTTGTTCTGGACACATGCATGCCTGGATCTAAAGCAAGCGTTCGATTTTCACATCACAACAGAACCTGGACCTTAAAAAAGTAGATCAAAATGACGTTTCAGAACCTTGAAAAAGTGCAGCCATCTACAGAGCTTTTAGAGAACTGTTAACCAAGTCCACATTTTGCCAAGTTGCATCTAGGTTTTCAAAAGCCATCGAGCAATTGCCATACATAAATAGTTACACGTGTTGGGTTGCGGTTGTGCAAAGTGTCCTTGGTTCATGTTCGGAATTACATGTCCTCCCAAGGATGTGGGGTTTAGGCGCTCAGCTAGAAAAACTCAGAAGCTGAACCAATTGTGTCGAAAACAAGTCCTGGAAACCATCACTCTCCGATAATCAAAACATGGGCTTTAACCATCAGGATGCAAGACACACGAAGCAAAGTCCTAAAAAAAATGAGATAAATTGTTGACAAAATTCGACTTCATAAGCTCTTAAAACTCACCAAACGTTTCTGAAGGTTACATATTCACAGAAAGAATAGATTGGTGCCCTGTAAATTAATATCAAAACTTTGACCCTCCTCTGTAGTCATGTCTCTTCTCTGGGTCATGTAATGGCAGGGCATACCCTTGTACCGAATTTAAGGCTGGAGCCTTTAGCTGGCAGCAAATGTGAGAATGCTTTCCTCTGAATTAACCATTCCAACCATTGCAAATTCAAACTACGCCAGCATGATGTATTGAATCTAACAATCTTCTGCATGTACTCCTAGAATATTGCCAATGATGAGTAAGCGCATTAAAATAAGTTTCTGTGAAGTATGACCATGCAGTTAATCTTTAGCCTCCAATTGATATAGAGGCATGCATATTCCTGCAGCTATTTAGAAGGCTAGATGGCGTAATTAAGGGGTTGGATGAAAACTAGTTATGTCAATGAGCAGAATAAAATAATCAACTATAATCCAATTCAAGGAACCTAGAAAATAAAACTGCTAAAATCAACTATCAGAAGAGCGTCTCTCTAAAATGGAAAGTATCCAAGGACATGCTTAGAATAGTATTCAAGGACATGCTTCAGTGGAAACAAATTACCAGATGAGAGCAAAAACTGATTTAAACTCCAATTGCTTGACATATAATTGAACTTCTAGACAGCTGCCATTCTCCAATAAATGTTAGGAATGCATGGCAATTAGTTCATCAACACCACATTGCCTAATGCTAATGACCATGGATTCATTAAATGAGGCAGAAATGTCACAGCATTGTCGACGAGGAGCCTTCATCGGGAAGAACGTGAAAGGCAAATAACAAGAAAACATTAGCTTGTATGAATAGAGCATGAAACCGAACATGACATATTGGAAAATTAGCTTGTATGACAATAAATATGAAACAAAACAAGAAATATTGGCTAACTTTTGTCTCCAAACCAGGGATATAACATGAGCCTTCAGTAATACCTGTTCGCTATCCGGTTCTAGTTTCTGGGAAAATACTCTAACAAGTTCCAGATTCTTTATGGAATCATCTCTAGTACAATCCGCAACATCATGCCTGGCATAATTGCTCCAAATGCCATTTTTACCAGATGTAACACTTTCCATGAAAAAGACAAGAGGTCTTTTACAGGCATCTCTGGGATATTCTCTTGTACTAAACATAAAATGAGTGAATTCAACATTTGCACCTCTCCTCCATGGCCGAAAGGTTCTCTGAGGTGTAAGAAGATCTGGAAGAAACTCATTGCCTTCGAAAACCTGAACAGAATATCCCCATGCAACTGAAACAGTCAATGAATTTATAGTGTCATAGCAAACAGTTTGCTGCAAAATCCTAGCAGGATCGACATTCACAGCTTTGAAAAGGTGTTCCAACGCCTCAGTCTTGCTCATATTTGGAAAGACAGGGTTCACAGCATCCAAATGATGAAGAGACACCAAAGGTGACAATGGATGCGCAGACAACATGCCAAACAAATCCCCTCGCATATCAACCTGGAGACAATCAAATTAAATCACAAAATTGCCTCTCAAATCTCAATTCCATCACCTGAATTCAAAATAAACCTCTACTTCACAACAACAAACCCACTCACTTGGATATCCAAGGAACAAATAAGGAATTTCAAAATTTCCGATGATAACAGCAATTTATAGATCCTCTAACCCAATCAAAACCAGAGATAACTAAGTTGTTCAAGCCATCAATCAACCTTCATAATTCCACTAATCCAATGTGTCCCCACACAAGCTAACAACTAGTACATCGACACAAATAAATGAATTCTAACATCCAAATAAACAAATAGAAACAATGCAACCTTACAAAACCAATTTCATTAGAAAAGATTTAAAAAATCAAAAAGTCAACTCATCCAGCTCAACTTACTACAAATGCAGAGCCTCTACTCCAAAACATGCCTTGGTACCAAAATTTTTTCAAAAAAAATTCTTCATTCTCACAACTTCACACTCATAATCTAATTACAGTACCCAACATAAGACCAAGAAATTAATTTCAAAACAAGATCATCACATGCAACTACATGCGCAAATCCATCATTTTTCAATCAACAAAATGATGCAATAAATCAAATCTAACCTGATGAAACCCTGGTTCATGACTCAAACCAACACCCAACTCTGCCAAACAAGAGAAAATCCTTGCATCACTCCCATATAAATGAGCATAACGCACCAAACATGAGTCTAAAACCCTAGCTAAAACCTTAGCTAACGGATAACTTATCGCAAACCCACCTCCACCAAACCCCATTTCAAATGAATTCTTCACATTCTGAAGATAACTCTCTGAATTCGTTCCCACATAAAACCATCCATTATGATCATATTTTGACAAAACAGTAACCAAATTCTCCACAAAAAACAGAGTATCATCATCGCCAAACACAAACCAACGAACATCCTGTTCATTAAGCTCCACTACTTCCTTTACTACTCGCGCCACCCTAATGGCGGATTTAAGGCCACCTTTGAAGGTATAAGGGAAGGGAGATGTGTCTTTGGAGATCATTACAGGAGGGAGCGAGAGGTCAACAATGGAGTGATTGTTATTTTTAGTTGGGTTTACAATTTTCCGGTCGAGGAAGGCGAAAGCACGCGTGGTGGTGAGGTTGTACCATAGGCGAATGTAAGGTTGGCGGTGAATGAAAGAAGTAGAAGAGGATGCTATGGAGAAGACGATATGGCGGCGCGTAGTGGCAGTGGAAGGGGACGTGGTGGTGCGTTGAATTAAGGAAAGTGGAGGTGGCGGTGAGCAAAAGAGGAGGTAGATTATTATTAGGAAGGATATGATTAGTAAGAGATCTTTTAGACGTGATGGGGTTAGTGTTAGGGTTTTTTTAGTGGTGGTTGTCGGCGGTTGCATGTTTTCGGAGAGAGTAAGAGAGGTGGTGGTCGTGGTGGTGATCTTGGTGGGTTTTCTTTTTCTCTTTTCGTTCATCTTTTTACTTTTTCTTTTTTTGTTTTTTGACTTTTCTTTTGGGCCTTGTTAAAAGTTTTCAGAGTAAATATAAATTAATTCTTTTCGTTTTATTTTAAAAATTAATTATTTAATAGTATATAATATTATTTTATTTAAAAAATTCTCGTAATTCTTCCATTTTCTTTACTTTTTTTCTATTTCTTAAATTAATAAATTAAAAACAAAAACAAAAATTTAAGTTACAAGAAAATATAAAAATATAAGAATAGAATATTATTTTTAAAACAAAAAGAATTAATCGATTCGTTTCTTGAAACTAAAGGGAATAATTTATAATTTACTCATCCCTTCTTTGGATAATTCCTCCTAGGAGGAAAGAAAAGAGAGGAAAGAAAGTGATAAGAAATAAAATTATTTTTCACTTGTTATTTGGATAAGAGTAGAAAGAAAAGGAAAAAAAAATACATTTTTCTTGTTTAGATAATTGTAAAAAGAGAAAAAAAATATATTATTATATATTTACTATAATGCCCTTAGGATTATATTTTTATATTTAAATATTTATAATAAATTTGTGACCACCTTTGATCTTTAATAGTAAGCACCTAGTAAACATAATGTTAAACAAAAAATATCTCTCATGCTAAAATGATTACCATAAACCTAGTTCATACATTTTTCATTTTTTTTAAAAAAAAAAACATGACAAAATAATTAAAATATGCATAGTTTATGATACAATAAATCAACTTTTAAAAAATTCTAAATTACTCCTTTTGTTTTTAAGAAACAAATTATTGAGCTTTTTTAAAAAAATTAATTCCTTAGTGTTTTATGGATGTTAATTACCCTTAATTTTATATTATTTTGATTTTGGATTTTTTATTCTCATTAATTTTTTTCATAACATTTATTTATTTATTTTTCCTTTTTAGTAGAAAAATAATAAATAGAAAAAAACTAATTTATTAATTTTTAAAATAGAAATAACTAATTAATTTGTTTCTCAAAACTGTACAGAACAATGTATAATTTATTCCTACACAAAATTGCACTTAGTTTTGGTTTATTAAAAGCTTATCTAAAAATATTGACTCACATGGATGTGGTCCTCTTTACTAATATCGATGCTACACTATTCCATTACAACCCGTGGGATGAAAGGAAAATTAGGATTTATTATTATTTTTTTCTTGTCACATGGATGGAGCAAGGGTAAAAACGAGAAAGTAAAAAAAAAAAAAAAATCAGTTTCAAGTTCCTTTCAGTTTCCTCCCAAATTTGGGAGGAAAATAGGTCTCACGAAAAAAGCATTTATTTTTTTCTTTCCTCTAGTTTCCTCTACGATCCAAACGGTAAAAAATTTTTATTTTCACTCTATTTTCTTTCCTCTTTCCTGCTTTCATCCTTATTCAAACAGGGTCAGAGTAATTACCACTTAAGCAACTAAAAGATGCTTTCAGGTATTTGAAATTTAGTTGTTTTAGTTTCATTTCGTAACGAAGGCACCATTAATTTGGTGACATCAAGTCACTGTATTTAATTTCTTTGATGAGTTTAAGGAAGTGAAATGAAACAGAAGTACAGAACAGTGACGCGGGTATCTTGGGCCACATTTGTCTGCAACTGTTTTGTTTTATACTTCGGTTTGCTGACTGACAGTTCTGACTGCAGCCAAAAGGGCTTTGTGTTGGGCTCAAACCTTACTTTGGGTTTTCCATATTGGGCTTCATGATGAAGCCCTAATCTAGGCCTATAAAAATGGCCATTGGGTTTCGGTGGAAAAAAACCAATTTAATTTAATCATAATAAAAAATCCAAACCAAAATTGCATGGAATGTTACAAAATGATTGGCATAGCCAAACCTAATTAATTCAAAAATCCACACCAAATCAAACTTTAATGTGCAGGAATTTAATTCAATTAGTTTTTTAAAAAATTATTCGATTTAGAGTTTATCTAAATAAACTAAAATCAGTTTTACTCGTTAAACTACTCCAATAATATTATATATTTATAATCAATCGAAAAAATTTTAAAAAAAAAATCTATTTTTTTTTTTTTAGAAATTGAATCTAATTCTTGTTTATCGACTGAATCGTAAATCAATTGGATTATAAATTAATAACTAAACTCGATTTGAAATTGAGTTACATTCAGTACAATTAATAGTTTTAAACCAAATATGATCACCTATATCACTAAATATAATATAAGCAAATGAGAGAATGTCAAAGATTTTGTTTAGGCAATAGTCCACGTTGAGAGAATGTCAAAGATTTTGATTAGGAATTACCAACCACAAAACATGTGATGGATTGAATTTATTTGAAATTAATGGACAAAGAAAACAATAAGGGCACAATAACAACAATATCTAGCTGGTAGGATTCAAGGTTTGACTTCAAACTTGAAAAAGTTGCCAACTCTGAGGACTTGACACATGTGCAGTGTTGTTTATCCTTTCTTTCTTGCTTCGATTTGAGGTCGGTTAGATAACATTTTTTAATAGAGCAGTTTGGCATCCTAGTAATCACCAAAATTGTGGCAGAACCCTAAGCATCGGTTTGAAATTGCAGTGGGCCTCCTATGAAATGAACGATTTGGATTGAGAAAAATCTATTTCCTGGAAGTCGTTTGATTGGACCAAAAATAAGTAGCACTTAGGAAACCCATCTTGTCCATTACTTCCATTTGAAGTTGGATGGCAAATATAAGAGCTTGGAGATTTCACGTTTCAGCCATACAATTGGAACCCATAAACAAAAAATGTGGACAAGGACCTCCATTTCAGTCTCACCTCTCCACGTGCACCAATAATGAAATTTGAGGGTCTGAAAATAAATGGTACCATACGGAAAAGAGGAAGGTTTTATGAGTAATTTGGTCCCTCTATTATCAATTTTTATAGGTTTAGTCCCTTTACTTTATCTTCCGTACTGTTGTCTCTTTTTTCCCCCAGTTTCGTCCTGCATTGAATAATTATACAGTTTAGTATGGTTTTAAATCATGGTTTTTGTCGCAGCATGGTAGACATTGCGAGCTTAAGCAACAATCATGGCTATATCCTGTGCAAAAATTTCTAAATTTAAATATTTATATAAATCTACTACTCGTGGATAAAAAAAAAAAAACAGATTGATTAAAATTTACAATAATAATAATAATTTTTTAAAAAAATAATTAAAATCACACCACCATGATACAAAAGCTATGTTATATCAAAAAACGTATTGAAATATAAAAAGAGACTAAGTTTATGTTTCATAATAACTTTTATGTTATCTTTCAAAACTTGATGTATATTATATCATCAGTTGTACTGAGTAACCTGATCTAACACCGTTTTCATCGACAGAAACACCAAATAACTAGAAAATAAAAATAAAGAGCAGAAGATTGACATTAATTAGTACAAATGAAAGCAAGGGACGAAACTAAGATAAAATTTAGTTGAAGGACCAAATACCCCATTAACCCAAAAGAAAAAGTAGTCCTATCAATTTCAAGCGACAGTAGCTGTTCTACATGCAAGGAAGTTGAAGGTAAGATGGTAGGTTCCCACCTCCAAGGAGGCTTTAATTCTTAGCCATACAACACCTTTTTTTTTTTTAGCAACAAAAAATTGACTTTGTAACCACTCAACAACAAAAATCATGGCTCATAAATTGCCTTTAAGCATCTCATAATCCATAAAGCTTGTGACTTACTTAATCTTGTTTGGTCCTTCTGTTTCACCAAATTTCTAGTGGAGTCACAAGGATCTCTACTTCTCAATTACCAAACTACCCCTTCGGTACATTTAATCGAACCAACCTTGAGATTCTTTGCTTAAAGCATTTTTCTCAACCACAAGTTCAAATTCTATGCGTCAATGTGACAAAACTTCTGACGGGAAGGATAGGACATCAAGCAAAGAAAGATAGTGACCATTTTGTCAAGTAGTGGCATTCATGTCAAATGCTAAAAATTCTAGGACGCAATTTCATTTCCATGGAAATGAATGTGAACATTAATATTACTATATATAAATGGCCCTCTTCCATCTTTCTGTCTGTCCATTCCATTTTGAGAGAGCTTCTAAAAATGTGTAGAGGCATTCGTCAGGAGAGAAATAACGAAGGCAGTTCTTGTAGCAAAGAGGTTGATTCACCTAATGCAACCTCAAGATGGGTTTGTTGTGAGCTGTGTGGGTCAAGGGCATCGTTATATTGTCAAGCAGATGATGCATTTTTATGTCGAAAATGTGACAAATGGGTGCATGGAGCTAATTTCTTAGCTCAAAGGCATATTAGATGCATGTTATGCAACGCATGCCAAAATCTTACACAAAGATATCTCATTGGGGCTTCAACTCAGGTGTTGCTTCCAACTATTGTGAGTTGGGGAGAAACAAGGCAGCGTAATTCTAATCTTGAAAAGAAGTGCTCTGGATCACTTAAAATGCCTTTTTTGTTTCTTTGATGTTGCTTCAATTTTTCACCTTTTTTTCTGTACCTTTTTTCTTCCACTTTTTTTTTTCCTCGATCGAGATTTATTAATGATGTATGTGTGTGTGTGTGTGTGGGGGGGGGGGGAGAACAAAAATTGTCACCTGAAGAGTTTTGGATGCGCATGAGAATTGCTGCGACTAGATAAGAAGTTGATCAGTCAATTTTGTATTCTATATATGCAAGCATATCCAAAAATTTCAGAGAGCACAGCGGCTTGAATTCCTGGAAAGAGAGAAGAAAAGACGGAAACACAGACAGGAAAAATAGGTGGTGAAGTCGAGGATACCTCGAAATTATCATTAAATCAGGGTATCTTCTATTAAATCAGAAAATGGTTTGTTTTTCTTTTTTCGTTTGGCAATTTTCTAATTTTATCACTTCTTTTTGTTCAAAAAAAAAAAAAAGTAGTTATGGTTTGCTTGTATGTGTATTTTTTTTTTTTTTTTTTGGGTTATAAATAGAGGGTGTAAACATTTTGATCAATAAGTATGGAAATATTTTGCAATTTGTGTAAACATAGTTTTAAATAGTTTAAATCTTTTCTGAATTTTGATTTTTTTTTTTTGAATTTTTTTTTTTTTTAACTTTCAATTGCAAATTAGACCTTTTTTCAATTATTTTTCATTTAAAATTAGATCATTTTGTTAGGTTTTTATCAATTTTAATATATAAATATAATTCTTCAATAACTAAAAACATACTAAAACTTAAAGATATTTTATTTTTTTCTCTAAAACTTTAGTTCTTCACTCTTAAATGTTAAGAAATAAGCAAAAGAATGTTTTAGAAATAAATAAATAAATTTTAGAATGAGCAAAGTATCCATTATTTTTTAACACATTTTTAGATGTTAAAAAAATTTAAAAAATCAATCACCTACTAGTCATTTATACTTTAAATATTAGAATTAATGAACTCTAAAGACTCAATTTAAAAAAATATATATAATTAAAGAAAAATACAATTCAAAATTAAAAGTTAAAGCATTGATTCTCTATTGACTTATAGTGACTTAAAATTCAGGAGAAGCTTTGATCATTTAGCTTAAAAACATGAAAGAAACTATCAAGATAGTCATTGCTCACAAAGAACCATGCATATCCCAAGTGATTTCCCACCTGCAAAATTTTCATTACAGTACCAGTCTATTTTTCCTCAGCCCTTTTTATGAGGTAAATATCAACCAGAACTTTATAATTATTTGTGGTGATCAAGATATAGAACACCTTCCATTTTTGTTGGTTTGGAGAGGAATGATATGAACCATTAATTCACTCAAAAGAAGGACGTGACAGCACAAGAATGAACTGTCTATAATGATTTAAGTGGCATTTTCCTTGAAAATTCCAAGTGCAAAATGCATTTAAGCAGAAGCAACATATTCTACACGATGTTAATAGCAGCACTATTCACCAAAAAAAAAAAATTGCGTTACATCACAAAGGATAGATGTTGAGTGGTAGCTGTATCAGCACAAAGAGCATCATCATCGTATGTTGTCTAGGCAGTGGTCCTCGAGATAAGATAATGTTGTAGCTATTAACTAGTTTCTAAGAAATTTCCAGATTGCAGCCCATAAAAGCATGATGACTTGTACTCTCAAAGAACTCCCTAGCTAGGTTGATTCTATTAATTATCACATATGATCACAGAATTGCACAAAGATCAGGTGTCAGTAAAGCAATTTTTTACCTGCAATTCAGAACGAGACTGACCATTTTCACCAATAGATTCAAATAACACCCACTGTATATATAACTATATAAGATTTTAGAATATGTTGTTACTGTTATTTAGTAGCATAGGAGCACCATTATCTTTTCATATAAATAACAACGAATAACGATGTAATAGTTATGTAAATATGTTATTTGCCATTATATAATAGCGTTATACTAAAAAAAACTAAAATTTGAACCTTTTTTTTTCATACACCCATGAAATGTTATTAGTATGCTTAATTAGTAAAATTGTTAAAAGTAGTAAATTACAATAAACTAATTAACAATTGTTAATGCATTCACAATATCGGTTGTTGTGACTTGTATTTTAATACTACGATCGCAATTGTTTTTTGAACCGCACCTGCAATTTAAAACTATATCTTCTCCACAACAGAATAAGTTTAGCCATGTTGCTATCACATTCATCAAATCATAAGATCACTTGTCATCCATATTAGTGTAGGTGTCCTAGATCCAACTTGTTTAGAGGGTTTGATGTATTGTATTATTGTATTTTAATATTAATAAAGAAGTCTATTTATTAATTCATGTTACTTATAATTTGATAAAATTAGATAGAAATACATATGATATGCATTGCATTAATGATTGATCAATAGATGTGAGAGAAACAATAATATATTTAAATAATATCATTAAATGCTCCAAGTCGTAGCCTTATCAAGATTGAACATTGACAACATTCGGTAAAACTTATGAATGCTATGCTCTTGCTATAAGATAGCAATAAGAGATTTCACACCTACTTGGACCTACTAGTATGGTAATGCCAAAGTAGACACTCGGGTGAATAATGTTGAAAAACATATTACTAGATGTGACTCGCCATGAGAACCTATTTAATTTAGTCTATGAGAATCTCATACGAGATGGATACAATTGGCCCTTTGACTTGAAGTCATCACGATTATCTCATTAGAGCATTGGTGTATTTTGACATTCATTTCGATGGGCTCGATAAAGAGCCGCATCCGGGTGATTCATTTGAAGCATTAGGAATCTAATTAAGATATGTGGATAACCGAGATAAGAAATGTCATTTCTTATAAGCTAAAAGAGTCATCATATTGCACTTCGATAAATGTCTACTCAAAGAGTCCGTGGTCATAGTGAAAGTATACCGAGTAGAGCATAATTGGTTTACTCGTGAGTTAAGACATTTGGAGATCAAAGAAAAGTTATGCTACCATAATCAAACAGACTAAACAAACTATAAACTAAATTCAAAATCACACTACGATAAATTAACATAAAGATCGAATTATATGGAAACCATTCTCATGAAGGTAATTACGGATTAATTAATCCTCCTAGAGAAATAGATAGTCATGATGCCTTGCTAAAGGTCAATCTTAATTTATGTATCAAAAAGATAAAAGACATTTAGAGATCAATCTTGTTTTATATATCAAGATATAAAAAAAGTGTCTTTTACCTTTTAGATACATTATCAACATATTTAGGAGCCTATTGAGTCACATGCATAAATTTAAATATTCACATGATAAAAGAGAAGCAAAGGTTTGAAAAAAATTTTCTATTTTGGAAAGTTTCCTATTTTAGGAAAATTAGTTTTCTAAAATGGAAATTAATTTGTAATTTTAGAAATCAGTCTCCTAATTTGGAAGTGAGTTAGCTAAAATGGAAACCAATATTCTAATTTAGGTTTAAGGGTAATTTAAAAAATTATTTTTTAATATTGACCTTCCTAAAAATACTTGACTTAATTTATTTGGATGGTCCAAATTAATTGAATCAAAATAGTTTGGACCAATAAGTTTAATTTAAAAGTTTACAAGGTATTTTGGTAGAGGGATAATCTTAAGCATTAATGGATAAGGCTTAGGGTTTATATGGATAAGGTTAGATAAAGCCCACATAAGCAACAACTCCTTTCCTAAGAGGGAGTTGTTACCGCCACATATAAATAGAAGAGGGAAGAGAAACACGACACATAAGAAAAAAATAAGAGAAAGGAAAAAAACTAGAGTGCCTCTCTCTTTTCAAAGTCAAAACTTCTCTTTCCCTCTTAGAGGTTGGCATAAAAACCATAACCGATTTCTAGAGAGAAAATTTACTATACATAATAGTTGGAGGTAGCACATGACAATTTTTGTTGCTTCTTGTGTAATTTTTTAGATTACAAGAATTATCAATAAAGGTCGGACACTTAGATGATTCCTTTTGTAAATTTTAATTATGCGTTAGAAAAGGTAATCACTCATTGTTATCTTATTATGTTTGTATGATTAGTTGATTCAATGACATGATATTGAAAATTTTAGATTGAGAAAAATAATTTTTTTTATTTCGTACCTCCTTAGAATGCATGATCCTTAATTGGTATTAGAGCTTTTGTTGAATTTTTAATTGTATATGATGTTGATTTTGATTAACTACTTGAATTATTGATTTCTAATCATAAATCTATAGTTTTTGATATATTATAAATATTCAAATCTGACTTTGGGTAAATGGAAAGAGGTGTACGAGGCTAATGCTAGGCATTGTCCACAACGCGTACCAAGCTAACACTAAGCCGGCGCCTCACTGAGCATGCGAGGGCACACACCAAGCTAGTGCCGGGCACTAGCCATGGGGCGCCAGTGCCGATACTAGGCACTAGCTAATTGGCACAAGGCCAATGTTGGGTATTGGCCAATAGTTGGTATAAGCCAATGCTAGGCACTAGCTAGCAAGGGTAGGGTAGCCTATGGGCCTTCAAGGCCTAAAATCCCATAGGCCCAATGCTTAAAAGTCTAAAAAATAAAAATTAAAAGAAATTTTAATATTTTATAAAATAACCAAAAATCATAGATTTATAATTATATTTAAATAAAATATATTTCATTTATGTATAAGTCATGTATCAATATGATTAAAGCATATGTGAATGGTATGGATGAGTAGATCTAGTTTTGAAAATATATACTTGTAAATTTTTAGTTAAATAGGGTATAAATGTCCTACCTTCTTTATTATTTTGATATATTTTTTTCTCATCTTATTCTCCTCAAATGTAACTCAAGATTTCTTTTTTAAAAATTATAAAAGTAAATGATAGATTAGTAGAATAGGTATAAGGAGAATAAATCAAGAAGAGAAGACAATCCCGAAAAACAAAAAAAATAATTTTTCACCTAGGTATTTGACCCACTAGTCTCCTTATAGCTTAAGGGGACTAGT